TTTTTCAGCAGCCACATGCACATTGGTGGCCCACTGGATGTTATTTTGCAGGTCTCTGGCAATGTTCCTCCTGTTCCTCCTAACGGTCCTGCTGCTGGCCTCCTCCACGTCTCCTGATGTACTGGCCTGTCTCCTGGTAGCTCCTCCATGCTCTGGACACTGCTGACAAACACAACAAACCTTGCCACAGCTGGATATGAGAAATTTTAATGGGCTTTGTCTTCTTAAGGAAGTCTGCCCTTTAGACGATTTCTTTAATCCTATTTCTTTTCTGCTTTTATAACAACAAACCCAAAACAAGCAGACAGTAGGGGGGTCCTTCTGAGTGAACCTGTTGGACACAGGCTCCCAGACTAGGATGGACTAATGTAACAGATGAATGTAACTGTCGTAACCATAACAACAGGACTTTTTCTTAGAAGTTTCTACTCCACAACTCCTAGCTTGTAAGTGTCGTGATAATCCATCTGGCAGTGAGTCCCACACATTTATTAATAATCTCCCAAAATACCTTAGGGCATTGTTGTTCCACCTCCGCATACTTGGACCAAGTTCTCTGCCCTCCTACTTCTTCCATTTAATTTGCTTTTCTCTGACCTGAGTCCGGATTCTCTGATCCCTCTCTTTACATCCTAAACCCCTCGGCTCAAGATGTCATGAGTGATAAAGCCACATTTGCTGGCAGTGAGGAGATACAGCACACTAGAAATCTCTCCTGAGCTAAAAAAAAACAATACTCATTCCTTCACAGCACATAAAAAATAGTCTACATTTAAATCTAGAAAGAAGCAGGTTATTGCAAACTTTTGTAAGATGAGTGTCTAGATGGTGTGGTCCTGTGGAAACGGCATGTGAATCACAGGAACGCTCAAAGTTTGACAGCTAATCAACAGCTATATCCGTCCTTGATAATGTAACTTCACAGAGCAGCTATTCAGACTATGTGCTAGATTTAGTGGATTCACAGGCAGGATGTGAAAACGAAGGAACAAGATGGAGCTGTGGCACCTCTTGTGATTCATCTTCATCGGGATTTCTCAAATATAGCAAAGGATGCTGCACATCAGCGGGGGTCTGGGGTGGCATTATCTTTCTCTTCCCCATCATTACGGAGTGAAGCCTGTGATTTACTGTTCACCCTGTTGGCTGTTAGACCCCAGATACTCTCCCTAAACGATTCTCACCCTCTGGCTTTTCATCATTGGATTTAAAAGTCGTGGTTGGGGTCTCATTTGGCAATAAAGAACAACGATTAGCAAAAATTGTGTGTTTTTTTTTTAGTTTAGATAAACTCTCAGCAGTTAGATGGTTCCCACCAGGTGAGCTGGAGCATAGTGTGATGTTTCCTTCCACTGTGGATTTACTGCAGCGAGAGCCAAGAGGCAAAGCCGTTCTGGGTTTAACAGCTTCAAGCACAGACAGAAAGCAGCTTATGGGGTGTTAAGAAAGTGGAAAATGTGTGAGTTGTGCAAAAATAGTGACTTTCAACTTCTCAGCAGCCAACTATCTATATTATTTACAAAGAAAGAGGATGGGAGTCAGTTGACTGGTTACATTTATTAGTTTTAGTGAGGTATTTATTTTAATCGAAACTTAGTCTTGGTTTTTCTGGATGATCATAACTCCAGTAGGAAGGTCTCATGCCTTTACTGAGTCCAACTGATGGAAAATGCATTGTGACAAAAGCTGCAGAACAAACTCTGAAACTCTAGCGTTTAGCGAGTATGACAATGTCACCAGTTTGCATACAGATTACTAATTGTGAAGTGATACTACTGAGGATTAACTCCTGTGTGTGTGATGAGCTGGGCTAATTCTCATGTGACTCAGAGCTTCAGTGTAGCTGCAGAAATGTTACCAGCCTTAGACTTGGTGAAAAGCTTCTTCATATTAAATATGTATGTTTCAGTTGGAGATACATGCTTCCTTAAAGGTATGGAACACTGAAAAACATTTTCTTGTTATTATTTCTGATTATAATTAGTCACTCTGAGTTTTTCATGCAGGCTGAACATGAAAATAATCTCCTGAATTAGCTTCTGATAGAAAATAGATGGTGAAACTCTAGGATTAGACGAGCCTGACAGATCTTCGTCACTCTGTCACCTAATGTTCATGGACTCAGCCAGCTTGACTCACAACGAGGAAGGCTGTTGTTGGTTTAGTGTCCAGTAAAGTGGAAGCTAACTGTTAGCATTAGCAACTGCACCACACAGCAGAACTCATCCAGGCTTGTGTAGAGAAAATGGAGTCAATGGTGGAGTTGTGTTGCTATTAGCCAGTCAGAGGGGAGATGTTCAAATTTCAGGATATCACACTTCAAATCCTGTCTTCTAAAGCTACTTTCTCCTAATCCAACTGGTGTCCCACTTTAATCAGCTGTAAAACAAGAGGAAATGAACTCTGACCAATCACAGGGGTGCCAACAAAAATATGTTTGGTTGATTTTGGTTTAATCATCAACATTTTACCAGATTTTAGCCCATCCGTCACACCCTCATTAGCCTTTCAGCTGCAGTTTGACAAAGAAAAAACAGCTGTGGTATTCCCACTGTAAGCCCATCTGCTCCAGCCTGATGACAGTGAGCATCATTTATTAGCTATGGAGGCAGAAAATCCCCTCAGGAGATACAGGACAAAAGCTGAACTAACTAGAGCGAGAATGTTGGACTTCCATTTGCTTTGTGCATAAAGAAGTTACAGTCATACTGCAAAGTCTACGAGTCACTTGAAATGTTCTGATCCAGAGAAAAATAATGTGTCAAGTCCTACAACTACATGGAACCAGATAAAGTTTAAAGTAAAAAAAGGTAAAGTTTGGTCATTTAAACTTTTAGTTACGTGGGAATCATTTTACATTACTTGTCTGCAACGGCAGAGATGCTTTCCTAGAACTGTGCACACAATTATTTAGTTGAAACGAAGAAGGCAGAATGAGCAGAAGCAAACCTGAAACAGCATGAAGAACTGTTCCAGAATAACACAGAAAATTAAAGTTGTGACTGTTTCTAATCAGGGAGGTGAGAAAGTTTCCCCGGTGATCCGCAGCAGCAGTGAGGAGTTGTGTGCTGCAGCTGTTATGTCACTGTTCACTCTGTAAACGAAGAGTTCATTTGAAAACATAAAAGCCAATTTGATCAAACTTTATTTTGGCTGATTTCAGTTACGTAAATAATAAAAAAGATGACTTGGGGGGTATTTAAAAAATGATGTTATTTCAAATGAACTCTTGTTCATGTTATATTGCAGGCCATTTTTTTTATTTTCATTTTTATTATAATTTTGGTCCCAACAGGAACTCATCTAGGGAGGGGATGTGACTGTTTCACATTTTATTTTACCCATTCCACCTCCTATTGTTCATTTGCCCTCTACCTCACAAACACCTGAGACACGAAGCCTCTGCTGCTCTTTTATCTCATCTAAGCTCCATTTACCATGAGAGCGTCCCAGTTTTAATCAGGTTCACAGGATTGTTTCTCCCTGTGTTGGTGTGCTTGAATCACCAGAGTTTACAGCTAACCCATTTGCATCGCTGATGTGTTACATAACCGTCTCTTCTTCCTAAAAAAGTCCATTCTGCTTCATGAAGAACTTTGCTGTGAATCTTGCCCAACTGTATTTTATCACTCTTGTGTCACTGAATTATTTGCCAGCAGATTTGCAGATTCATTGTCATGTTGAGTGTTGGAGTGAGAAAAGGGGATGACGAGATTCTCTGGAGGCAGACAGACGACAGATTCAACGTCTCGGTTTAATGCTGAAGGACAAGAAGCTTAAAATCACAAAGCAAAAACCCAAATCAGTGTGTTGGGGATAGGGTTGGAGAACAATTTAATAACCAAGTATATTTAACAACAGATGTAGAAAAAAATGGATAAATAAAAAATTCAATTGAAAGCTTCCTTTCTTTTTTTATTCTGGCCAATGGGATAGCTTAATACTACTAGAGTCATTACTTACTCCCAACCAATCATAAACACAGACCCAAGCCCAAGGTTACATTGGTTCAGTGACATAACGATATTTTCATTTCTACAAGTCTGACTAAACAAACAACCATCATTTTCAGAGAATCAATAAAAACCAAGTCTGGTAACACAACCAACTTGTTTTATCATAAAGTACTGACATAAAATGGCTAGCACTATTTTCTATATTTTTTCTATAGTAATGGAATTTGATCAAGGTATATTTTAGTTTTTATTGATATGCTTTTGACGTCTCGCCCTAGTTGGGGATGAAAGCAGGAACTAAGGTGTTTTAACTAGAAAGAATATACACTGATGGAAGAAGTAGCCGAGGTGGGACCAAGTTGATGTTTAGCAAAACAGAAGCAAGTCTCGAGTCGAATCCTAAACTTTGAATTTTGATTTCTAAATGTTGGGTCTTCAAAAAGAAACAAAATGTCTTTCTTCTGGCCCGCTGTGTGGGTGGAAAAGGAGTACAGTCAGGGGGTGACTTGTACTTTAACTAATCCATCCTTACCAAAATATCCATGAGATGGTTTTTAAAAAGTCTGTTCAGTGGAGTCCAACTGTAGTTATGTTTATGTATGAGCACTTTCTCTTTGACGTCTTCTGGTATAAATGCTGCCATGCAGGGTATTTTTTCTCAGCAGTGACCCCTGATGTTTAAGAAGAGAACAGTAGTGAGTACGGTGCTCGTTGCTCTAGCAGCAGTGTTGATGCCTGGAATACGATCACAGCCCAACTTAAATGAAGAAAAGGGGGTCAATCTGTTATGAAAAGAAGATAAAAGTAAACAGGAAGTTAAGCCAAGCAAGGTGCAGCATTAGAAGCTGCTAGTCTAAGCTGCTAATGTGAGTAGAGAACATGTAAATGTGACAAACTAAGCACAAACTGAATAATTACCAGTTATATAATTACTGTAATACTTTGTAAAATTGGAAGCAAACGCTGTGAAGGTTAATGTGACCTTACCTGCTCTGACTTTACAGGACGTCTGTGTTCTTCCACTCTTCTCCTTTGGCCTGACAGACCCACCAGCTCGTCACCACCATGAACTACCTTCGTCGGCGCCTCTCAGACAGCAGCTTTGTTGCCAACCTCCCAAACGGCTACATGATGGATCTACAGAGGCCAGCTCCTTCAGGGTCATCCACTTCCTCTCCCACCTCTCCAGCCATAGAGAGGCGGCAACCCCCAAGTCTCCCCACCCAGACCCAGAGTTCAGGGTCAGGATCGGCCGCGGGCTCTGGGAGCTTCCTCAGCTCCTTCTCCAGCGTGGTGAAAAGTGCTCAGGTGGCTCAGAATGTCGCTGCTGCTGCACACGCCAAGTCATCTGCAGCCTCAGCTGCAGAAGGTGCTGCTGGGAGCAGTCAGCCGGCCAAAGCTGTGGTACGGAAACCCAAGATCCTGCTGGTGGTTGATGATCAGCACACAGACTGGTGAGTTCAGTTTTTAGTGGGAAATCTGAAACAAGTGCTGTTCAATTGAAAATGAGTTTTATAATTGTGTGATTTAAACAAGATAAAAAAAAAAGATCTTGACAGAAATTTCATATAGATGACTGTAAATTTGGGATATTTGGGATTTTGGCAGGTGAGAAAACCACATCTTTGGAGGTTAGATCTCAGCTTCATAGCAGAAACAGAACTCAGAGTCTAAACAGGACTTTAAATAAATAAACAGGTACTTGGGATTTTTACACAATTTAAATTTATCGATTTCTTTTTAGATCTTTCCATTGAATGTTCAGTGTCCCACTGACTATTGTTTTTGCAGGCTTGTTTTCCCCATTCAAACTGGTAAATATACAAATTATACATCAAATAATTTACGCTTCTTTAAGCTTCTTGTGTTGACACCATCGACATATATACTGGACAATTCGATTCCATAGGCTCCAATAACTAGTTTTTTGTCTATAATGGGAGGTGGCCACCACCTCCATTTTGACCGTGTCATAGGTTCCGTCCAGCCCAGACAATTCCATAAAAGGGAAGAGAGGAGGAGCTGAGGGTGGGGCTGTAAGACTGGGATCAACTGACAACACCCGGTCGAACTAGCTACAAGCTAACCTGAAGCTAACCCTGGCTAACCCAAAGCTAACGCGGAGGTGGGAGCTGAGCTAACGGATGTAGCCACCTAGCTACAACCCAACTGGAGCTAACTGTGGAACACCCATCTACCTGAACCTCACACGAAGTTTAGGTGGAGGTTTTTGGCGCTTTTTCGTGAAAAGTACCTGGATTAAAAAGTATTCAATCGGTAAGTTTATAATTTATTTCCGTAATGAACCTATATTTTGCTTTGAGACACAGAAATTGCCATAGTAACAAGAGAAAAATCAGAAAAGGTTGTTGTTGAGGTGACATAAGAACAAATGAGGTAAAATGAGGAGGAATTGGTTCGTCTTTCTCAGGCAGATTCTGATGAGGGATGGGTTTTGCTGCACATGGGGGAGTTATTGATTTCCAGTGCTGGAGCCATAGCACACATCAGCTAGTTTATCACGATTTCCCTATAAACCAATAAACCTATCATCCATTTCACAAATTGTTATTCTGTTCTTGATTTGTTGGCAGATTGCTTCAGTTAGGTTGTTCTAGCTCTTTTAATTTATCTGAAGGTTTATCGGTGATCATTGTGAACAGGCATGTTCTCTAAGGAGATATCAGGTCAGGATCTCAGATTTATCACCAAAACAAAGCTCACTGCTGACACTTGTGTCTACAAAATTTACCTTGAAGCTGCATTTCTCCTCTAATCTTTTGGCTCAGGTTAATTTCACACCCTGTGTAAAGGTGAACTATTTCTTTATGTTTAACAACGGCAAAGGTATACGGGCTTTTATTTTGATAGCGTCATAGCAACCGTAGCCAAGTAGGGAGGCGCAATGGGCGCAACACAGAAGAAGCAAACGGAAATCTATTAGAAGTGAAGACGGAGCAAAGGATAGGCTATTAGCAGTTCACGGAGAAGAATACAAAGAAAGTTTGAAGAATACTTCTGTCTAGCTTCAGTTGATAAGGGGAACAAGGTTTGTAATTATAATTCAGAATGTTGTTATGAAAACGGAACGTGTCTATATGATTGTATTAATTGTGAAAATGACTACCAATGTAATCAGTTATGCATTATGGTTTATTTTATGATTTATTTATTTTTTGTTTATGCCTAGCTCTTACGTTGGTTGGTTGATGATACGGACGGCTCAATAAATCATCATTCACCATCAGTTCCGGCCTTCTCGATATTGACTGAATGCTACAGTAAGAGCTTGACCGTCCCCTCTTGCCGCACGGTGTGGTTTCAAGGTTCAACGGCAGTACCCGCAACGTCCAGCAGAGGGCAAAAGTTGGTCAGGAATTGAAACGGATCAAGGCAAAGTAAAATGGAAGACTTACAGGCTGCAACAGTAAGTCAAACGGCCCTAACTGAACAGATGACAACTCTGCAAAAGGAAAAAAGAATGCTTGTCCTTTATGAGCAATGGAAAGCACAGGCACGTGAAACAAGAGAAAAATTAAAGGAAGATATAACAGTGAAGGAGATGTCAGAACTTGCTGACATAATAGAAGAAAGGAGAGATGATCTATTAAAGTTATATTCAGAAAATAGAACCCAAATGGCACCATCATCTGACGTAAGGAGAAAGATCGATGCATGTGAAGCAGTAACTAAGGAGATCATAGGGATAATTCTGGAAAGAATAAGTGGTGTTGATGGAGATTTTGATGCAGATCGTGAAAAAGCTCGTTTACGTGAACTTTTAGGGCATGACTATGCCATTTCCATATATGGATCAACTGCAGCATCAAATCGCAGCCAGCGATCCTCAGCTTCCCATCTTACAGCAAAACGAGCTGAAGCAGCAGCAGAACTAGCAGCAAAGGAGGTTGAGTATGAGGTCGCGCTGGAGGAACAAAGACAACAAGAAAAAATAAGGGCTCTAGAGGAAGAGCATAAAAAACAGGTGGCAGTTCAAAATGCAGAGTTAGAACGCCTGAGAGCACAAAGGGATGTGAAAGCAGCTCGAGCCAGATTTGAAGCATATGACAGGCATTTACTACAAGTGGGTGATGTACAGTCAATTACAGATGAACAGGTGAGCCCAAACATCACACCTAAACAGCCGTTACCAGCAGTCTCCTTTGGTTCTGTGCAGACAGCTCTCCCTACTGTTACTGAGTTGGCACCAGCAGTGCAGGAAGCTCCCCCCAGTGTTACCCAGCTAGCACAGGCAGTTCAAGACAGCATAAGATTAAACAAACTTCCTACGCCAGAACCAACGGTTTTTAGCGGCGACCCAATGCATTTCATTGAATGGAAATCCACATTTACATCACTGATTGATCAAAGGGGCATCTCAGCAGCAGATAAACTGTACTATTTAAAAAGATATGTAGCAGGGTCAGCTCGCAAATGCATTGAAGGGACTTTCTTTAGGAGTGATGAAGCCGCATATAAGGATGCTTGGGACAAGTTAAACCAAAGATACGGCCAGCCCTTTATTATACAGAAATCATTCCGAGAGAAGCTATCAAACTGGCCAAAGGTGCAGTCCAGAGATGCTGATGGATTAAGAACTTTTGCAGACTTCCTAAATGCATGCATGCTCGCTATGCCTCATGTAAAGGGTTTGCAAATACTTAACGACTGTGAGGAAAATCAAAAATTACTGCACAAACTACCAGACTGGATAAATGCAAGATGGAACAGACAAGTAACAAAGACTTTAATGGAAGGTGGTGAGTTTCCAAGTTTTAGTGACTTTGCATCCTTTCTCTCTGTTGAAGCTGAAGTTGCATGTAACCCATTCACCTCCATTCATGCCCTTCGTTACTCTGAAACTAACAGCGACAAAAGAAACACAAGAGAACCAAAAGGGAACAAAGCAAGTGTTTTTAAGACAAATTCAACGGAACAAAGTAACACACAGTCAATAATAATAACATCAAAGGATTTTTCATGTGTTCTGTGTCAGATTGCACATCCACTCCACAAGTGTCCAGACTTCTTAAAACTGTCTCTAGAAAACAGAAGAAAGTTTGTGAAGGAGAAAAAGCTTTGTTATGGTTGTCTAAAACGAGGTCACAATGCCAAAGACTGCAAACACCGCTTCAGTTGTGACACCTGCTCAAAGAGGCATCCTACCTGTCTTCATGACGACAATTATTGGAACAGCCTACAAAAAGAGACACAAGTGAGTGTAAATAATGGAACTCAAGTTAACTCACCTGCAGCAGCGACGGCTATGTCACTCAATGTTGCCAGACCTGAACACACAATCAGCACATCAATGATAGTTCCAGTGTGGCTGTCAACTGCTAACAACCCACTCAAAGAAAAACTGGTTTATGCGCTATTAGACACGCAGAGTGATGCTGTCTTCATTGATCAGGATGTAACACATGAGCTGCAGGCAGATGTTTGCCCAGTAAAGCTAAAACTGACTACCATGATGGGAAAAAATGCAGTTGTAAGCAGTGAAAGGGTGTCTGATCTCTTGGTGAGAGGCTATAACTCAGCCACAGTCATAAAGCTTCCTACGGCATATTCAAAGGACTGCATCCCTGCTAACAGAGAACACATACCCACATGTGAAACAGCCAAACAGTGGAGTCACTTGCTGCCCATTGCAGATGAAATCCCTCCACTTCTCAGTTGTGAGATAAGTCTCCTCATAGGTTATACTTGTCCTAGAGCTCTAGCACCTAAACAAGTAATCTTAGGAAAAGATAATGAACCTTATGCTCTTCGGACTGATTTGGGATGGAGCATTGTTGGCAACTCAGACCCCGAAGAGAAAACAGACATGACAACCAGGCTTTGTCACAGATGCACCGTTAAAGAGGTTCCTCCTTCCACTCCAGCAGACGCAATACGTGTATTGGAAAGAGACTTTAAAGACGCTGAAAGAAATGAAAAGACTGTGTCACAAGAGGATCTATTATTCCTCCAAAAACTTGAGGAAGGCATAGTACAAACGAAAAAGGGAAATTATGAAATGCCATTGCCGTTCAGGAAAAGACCACAAATGCCAACTAACAGACAACTTGCTGAAAGCAGACTAAGTCAACTGAAACGCAAACTCATGAAGGATCAAAAATACAAGGAGGATTACATGAAATTCATGAATGAAATGATCAAAAGAGGTGATGCAGAAGAAACTGACGATATTGGACCACCTGGTGAGACATGGTATATACCTCACCACGGTGTTTATCATCCAAAGAAACCTGACAGGTTGCGCATAGTTTTTGACTGTTCAGCTAAACACAATGGTACCTGCCTTAATGATCATTTACTAAATGGCCCTGACATGATCAACAGTTTAACTGGTGTTTTGGTGCGCTTCAGACAGCATAAAGTCGCTCTAATGTGCGACATTGAAAAAATGTTCCACCAGTTTCAGGTTAAGGAAGATGATCGCAACTATTTGCGCTTCTTATGGTGGAAAGATGGTGACGTTAACAGCCAGCCACAAGCATACAGGATGACAGTCCACCTTTTTGGCGCTGCTTCATCCCCAGGGTGTGCGAACTATGGACTCAAACATCTGGCTAAGGAAAACAGATCTGCATATCCTGTAGGCTCACAGTTCATAACCAGGGACTTCTATGTAGATGACGGAGTCACCAGCGTACAAAAAACTGAGGATGCTATTCAACTAGTAAAGGAAGCACGTGAGCTATGTGCAAAGGGTGGATTAAGGCTGCATAAGTTTGTATCCAACAACACTGATGTTTTAAACAGCATCCCAACATCAGAGCTGGCAACAGATACAAAAACAAAGGACTTGACATTCAAAGAGGCACAAACAGAAAGAGCCCTTGGCATTTATTGGAATGTAGAGAAAGACTGCTTTACGTTCAACATCATGCTGAAGGACCAACCCCCAACCAGGCGGGGCATCCTATCAGCAGTTGCAGCAATATATGATCCCCTCGGATTTTTAGCTCCTTATGTGCTCAACGGCAAGGGAATTCTCCAAGAAATGTGCCGTCAAGGAACAGACTGGGACGACCCAATACCAGACCACCTCAGGCCACGGTGGGAGTGCTGGAAAGGAGACCTGCAAAATTTAAAGAACGTCCAGATAAACAGATGTTATGCTCCTGCAGAATTTGGAGAAGTGATCAAAGGAGAATTACATCACTTTTCAGATGCAAGCACCGCAGGATACGGCCAATGTACCTATCTTAGACTCACAAACAAAAACAAAGAAGTTTATTGTGCCTTTGTCATGGGCAAAGCACGTGTCTCACCCACAAAGGTCACCACTATACCCAGGTTGGAACTCACCGCAGCCACAGTATCAGTCACAGTGAGCAAAATGCTAAAGGAGGAGCTGCTCTACGATGATGTAGAAGAGTTCTTTTGGACAGATTCAAAGGTCACTTTAGGATACATAAATAATGAGGCAAGGCGCTTCCACACGTTTGTTGCGAATAGAGTGCAGAAAATACGGAGCCACACTTCACCGCAACAATGGTTTCATGTACCTACTGATGAAAATCCCGCCGACATGGCTTCCAGGGGCACTTCTGTAAAGGAACTGCTTTCATCCAACTGGCTCACCGGCCCTCAGTTTCTGTGGAAAGGAGAAATACAGCTTCCAACAAGAAAGACTATCGAGCTCCCAGTAGGAGACCCAGAGGTGAGAAAGGTGCAGACCCTAAACACTCAAGCTGTAAAACATGCAAGTCTCAGTGACCACCTCACAAAGTTCTCCTCCTGGTCCCGTGCAGTTAGTGCTGTAGCACGTCTCAGACGATATCTGCTCAAAGACAAATCAAAGACACTCACCACTGTAGCTGAAAGAAAAATAGCTGAAACTGTGATCATCAAAGATTTGCAAGGACAAGTGTATCAAAATGAAATAGACACACTCAAAAAAGGCAAACAACTCCCAAAGAACAGCAAAATAAGCAACTTGGATGTTTTCATAAACAAAGACGGTGTGCTCAAGGTTGGTGGAAGGCTTCAGCTTTCATCTCTGCCCAATTCAATCAAACAGCCAACACTCATTCCCGGAGAACATCACATTGCAAAACTGATAATCGCACAGTCTCATGAAAGAGTTAATCATCAAGGAAAAGGCTTCACCATGAATGAGATACGATCCAGTGGCTATTGGATCCCAAAATTGAGCCAAAGGGTTTCCTCCTACATTCGGCAGTGTGTGTTCTGTCGTAAACAAAGAAGGCCTGTGGAAGGACAAAAAATGAGGGATTTACCCACAGAGAGGACTGAACAATCTCCACCCTTCACCTACTGTGGTATGGATGTTTTTGGACCATTTCTGACCAAACAAGCACGTAAAAAACAGAAAAGGTATGGACTCCTTTTCACATGCTTCTATTCACGTGCAGTGCATGTTGAAATGTTAGAGGACTTATCTACGGACACCTTTATAAATGGACTCAGATGCTTCATCGCTCTAAGAGGCTCTGTCAGACAAATAAAATGTGATCAGGGTACTAATTTCATAGGTGCCAAAAACGAACTCAATGCAGCACAAAGTGAAATGGACACTGGCAAGCTATCAGCCTTCCTTGCAGAAAAACAATGTGATTTTGTTCTAAACACACCTCACGCAAGTCACGCAGGTGGAGTATGGGAACGACAAATACGGACTGTGAAAAATGTTCTCAACGCAACATTGGCTCTCACTCCAGGTCGGCTTACTGACTCTTTACTCAGGACTTTTCTCTATGAAGCAGCTGCAATAGTAAACAGCCGCCCTTTAACTACGGACAATCTTAACGATCCAAACAGTCTGGAGCCACTAACTCCAAACCATCTCATCACAATGAAAACTTCAAGTGCTCTGCCTCCACCAGGAACATTCATAAAAGAGGACATGTATGCACGAAAGCGGTGGCGCCAAGTTCAGTACCTTCTTGAGCAGTTCTGGAGCAGATGGAGAAAAGAGTACCTTCAGAACCTTATAGTGAGACAAAAATGGCACACACCTAAAAGAAACATGCAAATTGGAGACATAGTGATGGACAAAGATGACATGCTACCACGCTCTCAATGGAAACTTGGTCGAATCGTGGACACTGTGCAGGACACTGATGGACTTGTCAGAAAGGTCAAAATAGCCTCTGCAGACAAAAATCTAAACAACAAGGGCCAACGTGTCAGCAAAATGTCTGTGGTAGAACGCCCTGTTCATAAGTTGGTCTTGTTGTTAGAAGACTGTAATGTTTGAATCTACAATGCTTTAAAGTGTTGGAAAATGTTTTATTTATTCATTTTTTGTTTTTGAATTTTATACAAAGTATCTGTTAAGCTACTGTTATTGTTATGGAAAAATTATTTGTGTTTATATGTTCAATAGTAAATAATTTGGTGGGAGTGTAAAGGTGAACTATTTCTTTATGTTTAACAACGGCAAAGGTATACGGGCTTTTATTTTGATAGCGTCATAGCAACCGTAGCCAAGTAGGGAGGCGCAACGGGCGCAACACAGAAGAAGCAAACGGAAATCTATTAGAAGTGAAGACGGAGCAAAGGATAGGCTATTAGCAGTTCACGGAGAAGAATACAAAGAAAGTTTGAAGAATACTTCTGTCTAGCTTCAGTTGATAAGGGGAACAAGGTTTGTAATTATAATTCAGAATGTTGTTATGAAAACGGAACGTGTCTATATGATTGTATTAATTGTGAAAATGACTACCAATGTAATCAGTTATGCATTATGGTTTATTTTATGATTTATTTATTTTTTGTTTATGCCTAGCTCTTACGTTGGTTGGTTGATGATACGGACGGCTCAATAAATCATCATTCACCATCAGTTCCGGCCTTCTCGATATTGACTGAATGCTGATTTTTCTAAAATGAGTCATTGTGGGTCTGTCCTCCATCCAGTCTACCGAAAACAGGTGCACATAAACCAGGAAGGAAGAAATCTGGATAGCAAAATTAGTAAGTTATAAACATAGCCCATGATCAGTGAATTAACTCTAGCTCAGGGGTCACCAAACTTTTTGAAGCTGAAGGCTACTTCATGGATACCGAGCCAAACGAAGGGCTACCAGGATGACACAATACTGAGTGACCTCTGAACTGGAATAGATCAGAGTTAAACTAAACTTCATGTATAATAAACATATTTTTTTATTTTAAAGATTATTGTAGTTTTTAAATCTGTATTATTGCACTTTTGATGAAAAAGATGGCAGCAGAATTTTTTTTGTTTATTATTATTAAGAGAAAAGGCCTGTGGATAGTTTGTGGGGGGACCAAGGTGCCCACAGGCACCGGGTTGGTGACCCTTCTTTAACTTCTAGTGCTTCTTTTTTTCAGTCATGTAAACAAAATCTCCTGAATAAATTTTAGCTCCTGCTGCAGCTGTCTTGTCCATTTAGAATTATATTACTGTTTTTTACCTTTTGAAAAAAAATCTAATTATATTTATAATACTGCAAATGCAAGGGGTGAGTGCAGTAATCATGATTACAGACATTTTAACTCTCTCTAAGCCAAAGAGAACATATTTGGTGGGTATTTTGGGCACATTCAGTGGCGGTTCTACATGGAATTACTCCCCTGGCGAGGCCCTCTTTGAGGCCCCCCACCCACCCACCATCACACGCATGTTTTCTACAAACAGGCATGTTTTATTAGAACAACTATTGAACATTCATTTTTCTAAGTTGCACATATTTACATTAATTACTATGAAGTTGTCAGAATGTAAAGCAATTTACATTAAATACTGTATCAAAATATATAGAATCAAATATACAAAAACAAACAATAACTAAATATTAAGAATATATTAACATATTATATATAAATATTCTAAATAGCAAAAATGTTTCACACATAACAAACTAAAGGTAATCACTACAGCATTGCACTTAGAACAGAAAACACAAACTAAAATTAAAACCTAACCTTGATGCAAAGTCATCAATAATGTCATCTTATGAAATCTGCTCCCCTACTGAGTGATCGATACTAATCAGAGCCAGGTTAGTGAGCCGCCCCTGAAACATAGTTGACCTCAGGTATGACTTGATCAAGTTTTGAAAAGCTCCTCTCAGCTTGAGCCACAGTGACTGGCAGAGCAGTCCAAAAGTTGGGGTAGATCTCCAATAGATCTTTATCATGATCCATAATATGTTAGAATTGCCTCTGAAATTGTAATTTAAACTGACATAAAAAACTGTAGACTACCAAAAATGCCAACTTTTACAGAACAAATCATGTAAAAAATAATCAGTGCAGCCATCTGCAATAAATAACCAAAGTAAGTGAGGTCCCTGCTGAGGGACATCCGAGTAAAACCTTGAGATGGCATTTTCTGTTCACTAACTTGCTTTAGTAAATCCTTACTTTTGTTAAATAAATCAGTTGTTGAACCCCCACTCCTCTGTTTGGTCTCCTTTCTTATTACAGCCCGCCACTTCCAGTCTGGGTTGTAACAATCTGCAGACAGATTTCTGAGTATCTCCTCCTTTGGTACACAGATCCTCACTGAGCCATGTACTGTGAACAAATAGTTTCTCCATGATATTATCCAGCAAGGTCCCGTTTTTGTCAAAACAAGGGTGAGGTAATGAAAAAATAGAAATATTTCATTAAATTAACATTTCAATTATTTATATGCATCATTAAAATAAAAAAAACATGTTTTGAAATTTATAAAGTGCACCAAACTTGACTCAGTCCATTCAACAATTCTAAATGGACAATTATGTAACTCATCAATAAATTATTTGAAAGGATAATTTGTCAATTAAATACTGAAAAAAAAATTCATTAATGAGGCAAGAACTTTTCTCTCTCTCTCTCTCTCTCTCTCTCTCTCTCTCTCTCTCTCTCTCTCTCTCTCTCTCTCTCTCACGCTCTCTCTCACTCTCTCTCTCTCTCTCTCTCTCTCTCTCTCTCTCTCTCTCTCTGTCTCTCTCTCTCTCTCTCTCTCTCTCTCTCTCTCTGGAAGCCCCACTCTAAGGGAGTTTGCAGTGTATTAGTGAGTCATATATTGTACAACCACAGTCATAAAGTTTTCAATCAGTAGTTTTATTTCAGTATGTATTTTTCCAGTATCACAAAAAATGTAATTTTATATGGTTAAAACCATCTAGCTTATGTGCACTTTTTAAAACACTGCCCAGCAAACATTCGGACGTTTAATGACAGTTGAACGGTCACAACTGTAAAATACATGAAATTAAGAAAAATTAGCATGACATCTACTGCATTTTCCTTGCCCGGACTCGAACCTGGATCCTCTGGGGGGGAGAGTCACCCGCTCTCCCAGCTGAGCTATGCCAGCAACTACTGAATAGCAGACTTTTTTATATAGATAGAGGGTAAAGTGCGGGGTACACTAACCAATCAGAGGACAGAGAAGATCTGCCACAGGCCACGCCTCCAGAGTGCCAAAAGCCCTTACAGCCGAGCGAGCAGGAGTCAGAAACCGAGCGCGCAGAGAGGCTGCCGAGCGCGCACGTTTTCCTCTGCCGTGTGCTCGTTGACAACGCGCGCACGCAGGTTTGTCACTTGTGCACATCCTTGTGCGCTCACAGACACAGTTTGCTCCCTCTCAGTGCACAAATGACCTCTCGCCATGTATATTTCCGCTCGCGAGTCCCGTTCACACGCGCGCTGTGGACCCAATGCGCGTGCACGGGTTGTGGCACGCTTTAAACGCCATATACTTCCAGCAGGATAAAGCACCATGTCACAAACGTCAGACCATCTTTAACTGGTTTCTAGAACATGACCATGAGTCCACTGAGCTCCAGCAACCTTCGCAGTCACCAGATCAACCTTTAGGATGTGGTGGAACAAGAAGTTCACATCATGGATAGGCCTATGCGATGATGTCATGTCTGTATGGACCAGAACCTCTGAGGAATATTTCCAACACTTTGTGGGATTTGACATTTTTAGGAAGAAGTCATTGATACATTTCATACTTTTGGTAAAAATCAAGCTCCCCTCCAGAAGTGTTGCATTTGAATTGCACACACTTCTTTTAGATGGAAATCATCTAGTTTTAGTCCAGTAATCTTTGGAGCTTGTTGATGCTGAAACCTGAGGTTGTTGTTACAGGTTAATGCCGGTCTTGTATCAGTTTGACAGGCCGTAAGCCTACTGGACACCAAGCTTAAAAGCCTAATTAGACTCTTGTGTTTTGCCAGAAGGTAATGTCTCCCCTGAACTCCCTGAGACAGCTTGTTTATTCTTCAGGAGTTTCCTCCAGAACAGCAGGAGAACATTCATGAAGCCCATAAACCTGATGGTCAATATTCCATGTAGTTTCAGACTGAGGATGCCTTAAACGTTACTCATCAGTTTTTCTAGGCTCCCTGAATGGCTCTGACCAGGAGAACGCCCGTCCATCCATCCTTTGCTTGCTGAGGCTGAATTTCCTCCTGGTCATTCCAACTGGGAGGCAGGAGTCTCTGGGGAAACCCTGCTCTGTCCTGACAGCCTTGGCTTCCAGCAATGACTAATTCACAAAAGCAGTACACATCACTGAGAGCATCACTGCAACCACCAACAATTCCTCCTTTTCTCCCTGCGTGTCTCTCTCTCACTCCTTCTCTCAGGCCGGCACGCTAGACCCTTAGCCAAGTTGCTGTCAGTCTGTTTGCACTGTGTTCAGAATGATATGAGCATCTGATTGCTCAATTCAGTCCTGCTCTGGCACATTGTTTACTTCTTTTTTGTATCTAGCAGAGCATTATGAGAAGCTCTGGTTATCCTGGGCTTTATGAGGAGGGCTGTAACTTCATGTAATGTCTACAGAAGAGGCAGGGAGCCCACACACTGGGAAAAAAGAAACAGGAAATTCTCTCAAGGGATTTGTGAATCTGTGCTGTGCCTCTGGAAGAGGGCAAAAGTTCATGAACCTCAGACTTCCCACTGAAACCTATTCAACAGGAGCACTTTAGCTAATGCTTCACATTCTAAACCAGAAACACCAAGTCCTGTGGCATATGCCTTATGATTACAATGTTTCTTAAAAGTTATATATCTTGTTTACAGGGTGAAAAAATTACAGCAACTGCCAAATGTATTTTAAAAAATCACAAAGTTTGCCACCTCCTTTATTATGTCATCCATTTGTAGAAACTCAACCATAAACCTAACCTTATAGTCCCACTTTGAGATGAAAATGGACTCAAAACAGCCAAAGAAAATCGACATAACAAGCTAGCCCACAACATTTTTTTCGTGCTGCTTAACAATGTTCTAATAACTACAAATATATTGTGGAAATTAAAAACAAAACAAATTAAAGCTGCAAGCATCATCGTTCGGCCCTCGCAGTTCCGCGCCGCTCCGGCCTGGCCGGCAGTCTGGTGCACTCGGGCATGTCCGCTGAACATAAACATCGACCCATTCCCATAGCAAGGTAAAGAAAAACCTTTCCTGTGTTTTAAAAAGAACCAAAAATGGAATTAGTAACTAAACACAGTAAGAACACACCAAAAATGTATAAACATCGACCACCCCGACACCGGAAACAGCGAACGGTCTCCTCGTCTGCACATCACCCTGACTCAGCATCTTCTCTGTGCCCACCATTAAATTACACATCTAACCACTAAGGGATACTCTATCTTTACCACACTGGTGGTGCGATGACACAGACCAAGTTTAATGCTATTCTGACCATGATTTTTTGAAGTCATTGAAGGGTAAAGTTATCTAGGGGGCGCTGTGACCAACTACAGAAAAATCCCATTGAGGTCAGCTTTGGTTTGCAAAGATGGTTTTCTGTTATTGTGACATCAATCAGACGTTGTGTGTGTTATCTAGAGCCAGAGAGCCAAAAGGGGGTGGAGCTACAGGGGTTTGAACC